GACTACAACATCCAGAAGGAGAGCACGCTGCACCTTGTTCTGCGTCTGCGTGGCGGCAACTGATCGGTCCTCGACGAGTAGGCAGCTCTGCAATGATACATTGATTCCCCCTCGAGCCCAAGCCGTCGCACGTGCAACGGCTTGCGGTACATCCCTTTATCTCTTCGCGAATGCTGTGTGTGTGTGTGAGAAGAATGTGCAGCGTTGTGCTCGTGACTTTGGCTTGGTGAGCGAACTGATGAACGTGGACGTGGTGAACGTGGACGGACGAGACTAGGCTGGGCGCGGCTGCAATGACGGCACGTGGAGCTGTGCGGGCAATCACCGGGCTCGTGCATGAGGGTGAGGGCACAATGGTGGCATGGCTTGTGGATGCACGCTCTGTGACTGGACGATGCAGGACGCGCCTGGTGGACTCAGCATGATCTTGCACAGTCGTCGCTGGCAGCGAGCGCACTCAACGGAGCTGTTATATCGAAAGGACTCTATTGTCGGCTCGGTTTCTTACCAGCAGAACAAGATGCTGGTGCGGTTGAACAGCGCGGGACTAGCGGCGGCTTTGGAGCCCGTGCCGCCCTCGGGCGGGTTCATGGTGAGGGCCACATGCAGGTTGCGCGTGATCTCGCCGCGGAAAAAGGCAAAGAGCTCCTCGTCCTGATCGAGCATCAGCCCGTTGCGCTGACTAGCCTCGCGCAGCGCACTCACCAGACTCGCATACTCGTCGCCCTCAAACAGCCCCGCCACCTCGGCATTGGCCAGCAGCGTGTTGAGCTTCTCCAGCCGCGCCGCATTGCACATCTGCGACTCGTCAATCGTCCAGCACACCTTCTCGCCCCGACACCCAACGCGGCGCAGCAGCGCACGCAGGTCGTCGTCAAAGTGCTCCTCGGTATACCGGTTGCTCGTGCTGATGCTGAACAGCGACAAGCCACGCATCCAGGCGCAAAACCGCGTCACCGTCGTCCGCCCACTGCCCGACGCACCGATCAACAACAAGTGCCCCGCCGGCTGCCGCAGCACACGATCGCACGACAGCGCCAGATCCAACACGCTGTCGTGCAGCACCAGACTCGCCTCGAGCTCCTCGTCCGAATACCCCTTGAGCCTCGCCTTGGCATACTCGCGCACCGCCTCGCGCCCCACGCTCTTGTACTCCTTGCTCAGCCAGTTGCTGAACAGGATCGGCCGCGCCAGCGCCACGCCCGTATCGACGGTGGGGAACCGATGCGCGGCTACCGCATCCAGCTGCTCGTCCGTCCACCGCTTCTCGTCGCGCGCCACCAGCCGGTCCTGGAACAGCCGCAACCCCTCGTGCGCCCACACGCGCACCAACCCCTCCACCGACAGCGCCTCCAGCTCCCTGATCGCCTCAAAGATCCCGCGCATCCACCGCGTCAGCTCGCGCGGCGAGTAGACGTAGTGCGCCTGGATGTCAGGCGTGAACCGCCGCTGGCTCGCCAGGTAAAAGTCCACCATGCCCGCCGTCAGCGCCTCGGCATACCCGCGCAGGTTGGGCGTCACCTTGAGCAGCGCGCGGTTGAACGTGCCGTAGATCTGGTTCAGCGAAATCTCGCCCGGATAGTCGACCATGATCAGCGGCGCGTGGCGCAGGAAGCGGTGCGACAGCGCCACACGCCCCGGATCCGTAGGTGGATTGCACGCCCCCACAAACTGGATCCGCTCCAGCCGCACCCACGCCTTGTCGCTGATGCGCCAGAAGCCGCCGCTCTCGACGAGCTGTCGCAGGAACGAGATGACGCGCTGCGTCCCGTACTTGTCCGTCGCCGGCAGGTTGATCTCGTCGCAGAAGAGCACCAGCCAGCGCCCGATCTGCGACGGCGACAGCACGATCCCATTCGGCGTCTTGCGGTACTCGCAGTACTGCTCAAACGTCTTGAGGATCAGCTCGGGCGTCGTGGCCGACGAGAAATTCAGCCCCACCACCTCCATGTCCGGCAGCTTGCGCAGCGCCGAAAACAGCGTCATGGTCTTGCCCGACCCGGGCGGACCGCACAGCATGAGCGGCTTGTGCTCGGACAGCCACGAGTACAGCACGTCCTCGTGGCGCACCGTGTCGATGGTGGGCACCACCACGTCCGCCGCCGACACGGCGGCCGTGTCGATCTCGATCGTAGGCACCTTGCTCAGCCACGAGGTCCACTCCACCGCGCCGCGCGTCAGCGTCACGTCCCAGTCGATCAGCGACGCGCCCGCGCCCGCGCCCGCGCCCAGCGGCGGCAGCTCGATGCCCGTGCGGCTGCGCAGATGCTCGCCCATCTCGGCGCGCACCTCGAGCTTGGCATCGCCCGTAAACGCCCACACGAGCGCGAGCAGCAGCCGCCGCGTCGCGTACGCCTCGATCTGCTCGGCGCCCAGCGGGAAGTCCGGGTGCGCGGCGTTGTAGTCGAGCACGTTGCGGATCGTCTTGTTGACCAGCGAGAAGAGCGTCGACAGCGCGCGCGCCTCGGTAAAGTCCATAATGTGCGGCTTGGACCGCGCGAAGTCGAGCGCGCCGTTCACCAGGCCGTCGTCCTCGAACAGCGGCGCCAGCGCGTCCGCCACCGCGCGCTGCACCAGCAGGTCCGGGCTCACCTCGCTCGCCGCGCGTGTGCCCGTCGAGGCTGCTGCCGCCGCCGCACGCCGCGCCGCCACCGCACCCACCAGCTCGTCGTCGTCGAGCTCGATCGGCGTCGAGCGCAGACCCGCCAGATAGCGCGAGTAGAGCATCGAGGGGCGCACAATGTCGTCGCTGAACCAGATCATGCCGCAGCGCGACACCGTCGCCAGCGTGGCGTAGCGCAGCGACTCGACCTCGAACACGATGCGCACGTTGGGCGGCAGGTTGAGCCGCTCGCCGTTGGGCAGCGTGAGCAGCTTGTTGTCGTCGAGCACCGAGTTGAGGTTCTCGACCCACTCCGGATCCACGTCGCCGTCGAAGACGATCCAGTGGCGCTTGGCGCTCTCGCCCCTGACATTGTCGATGATCTTGCGCAGCACCTGCGTGAAGAGTCCGTCGTTCCACTCGCGCGTCGTCGGATCGAGC